TCTTTCTAGTACGGTACTTAGGAGTGCAGAACTGGATACATTCGAGAAGATTAGGACTGTAAATGTTACTGTGAAGGATATCATGCAAAAAACACATATCAAGTAATTCTCGTCTAGATTCCAGCGACAAGAGACCGTATTTAATACACTCTTCATTATAAGTTTCACAACGACGCATGCCGGTTTTGTAATTGAGGTGCTTTATGAAGAGTTTTTGTATTCTTTCTAATCTGTTTATATACAAAGCATATTCCGGCGACCATATGGAGCTAACATATTCTAGTATACTGCGACAATATGCGTAGTAGATAGATCTAAGACTGTTTATGCTTTTAAAAGGTTTACAAGTCCTCATAATGAACCCCAGATTGCGATATGATCTATTTACGATATGGTTGACATGCTCGGAAAACATCATTTTAGAATCAAGGAAAACTCCTAAATCCTTTACTATCTCAGTCCGTTTTATGCCTTCGTCTTTAAAGTGATACGGAAAAACAATTTTATTTTTCTTTCGGCTAAAACTGATATTTACTTATATTTACTGTTATATTGTTTCAGACATAATATGAATGTAAGTTATCCAAGTAAAAAATAAAAAAATAAATAAAATCATTTATTTTTCTTCACAAAACTTAAATTAATTAGATAGTTGATTGGGGTCTCCATTTAAGCAAGTAATGCTTGTGTTTGGAAACCCCGCTCTTCCTTATCTAAACATACATTTTAATTCTCAAACCCAAAAATGACAAACCAATTACTCTATTTTAACGAACCAAAAATAACAAAAACTAATTTAATTTTAAAAATCAAAAATTTAAAAATTAAAAAGTACAAAAGTATATGTGTGCATGTATGCAAGTGTGTGTGTGTGTGTGTGTGTGCGTGCGTGCGTGCGTGCGTGCGTGCGTGCGTGCGTGCGTGCGTGCGTGCGTGCGTGCGTGCGTGCGTGCGTGCGTGCGTGCGTGCGTGCGTGCGTGCGTGCGTGCGCGCGTGCGTGCGTGCGTGCGTGCGCGCGTGGGCGCGTGCTTGCGTGCGTGCGTGCGTGCGTGCGTGCGTGCGTGCGTGCGTGCGTGCGTGCGTGCGAGCGTGCGTGCGTGCGTGCGTGCGTGCGTGCGTGCGAGCGTGCGTGCGTGCGTGCGTGCGTGCGTGCGTGCGTGCGTGCGTGCGTTAGATAAAAAAAAATTAGTGTCGGTATAATTTTGGTTATATTAATGATTATAATATTATCATCATCATCATTACAGCCCTTCACAAGTCCACTGCTGAACATAGGCCTCCCCCAAAGAATGCCACAAAGCACGGTCCTGAGCCACCTGCATCCATCGACTTCCTGCATATCTTACCAGGTCGTCACTCCATCTAGTGGGGGGACGCCCTACACTTCGCCTGCCGGTACGAGGCTGCCACTCGAGAACCTTTCTTCCCCATCGGTTGTCGGTTCTTCGAGCTATATGGCCGGCCCATTGCCACTTCAGCTTACTAATCCGTTGGGCCATGTCGGTCACTCTAGTTCTACTGCGGATATCCTCATTTCTGAGTTTATCACGCAGAGAAACTCCGAGCATAGCCCTCTCCATAGCTCGCTGAGCGACCTTGAGCTTCCTCATCCGGCCAGCAGTGAAGGACCACGTCTCAGTTCCGTATGTCATCACTATAATATTATGACAATATAAAATAATTATCGTGCACAACCCTTGCTGAATAATAAAAAAAATACTTACAAATGCATGTGAAATTGTATTTTTGTAATTTATCATGATAAACTACATGTGAGCTGCCAACAGTCCAAAACCTTTGAATGTTAATTATTAATGATATATAAGAACTCTGCAATTTTAAGTAAAACAATACACTCTAAAAGACACAACAATACATAATTATGATATGATTTTTTTATGTTTTTACATACCATATTAAAAAAGAAGAAAAAACAGTACCAATACAACATTTTAAAGAAAGTACATATACGAGTAGATGGATGAAGAATAATACTGATAACAATAAAACATAGTCATTTAAGCTTATCAAGTGTTTCAGTGTTACGAATAAAAATTGCTTCGCATTTACCAGCATTGCTTCGCATTTAAATGCGACCAGCACGAATCCAGGTGTTTGAACGTATTTGAGCTCTTTCCCACGTTTACGAGCTGCAGCATGCAGCTGCTTATTTTCGGACTCCTCCAAAAATAAGCATTTGTTATTGAGAACAAAGACAGGTTTCTTTTGTTCTGTGCCAAGCCAAGGTCATGAGTGTTGAGAGTTGAGCTTGTTCTCCTTGTTTATGACGATGACGATGATCATGACGATGACGATGATCATGACGATGACCATGATCATGACGATGACGATGATCATGACGATGGCGATGATCATGACGATGACGATGATCATGACGATGACGATGATCATGACGACGACGATGATCATGACGATGACGATGATCATAACAATGACGATGATCATGACGATGAAATTGACAATGACTATGATAATGACGATGACGATAATCATGACAATGACGATGATCATGACGATGACGATGATCATGACAATGACGATGATCATGACGATGACGATGATCATGACGATGACAATGACGATGATAATGACGATGATCATGAAGATGACAATGACGATGATCATGACAATGACGATGATAATAACGAGGACGATGATCATGACGATGACGATGATCATGACGATGACGATGATCATGACGATGACGATGATCATGACGATGACGATGATCATGACGATGACGATGATCATGACGATGACGATGATCATGACGATGACTATGACGATGATCATGACGATGACGATGATAATAACGAGGACGATGATCATGACTATGACGATGATCATGACGATGACGATGACGATGACGATGATCATGACGATGACGATGATCATGACGATGACGATGATCATGACGATGACGATGATCATGACTATGACGATGATCATGACGATGACGATGATCATGACGATGACGATGATCATGACGATGACGATGATCATGACGATGACGATGATCATGACGATGACTATGACGATGATCATGACGATGATCATGAAGATGACAATGACGATGATCATGACAATGACGATGATAATAACGAGGACGATGATCATGACTATGACGATGATCATGACGATGACGATGACTATGACGATGATCATGACGATGACGATGATCATGACGATGACGATGATCATGACGATGACGATGATCATGACGATGACGATGATCATGATGATGACGATGATCATGACGATGACGATGATCATGACGATGACGATGATCATGACGATGACGATGATCATGACGATGACGATGATCATGACTATGACGATGATCATGACGATGACGATGATCATGACGATGACGATGATCATGACGATGACGATGATCATGACGATGACGATGATCATGACGATGACGATGATCATGACGATGACGATGATCATGACGATGACGATGATCATGACGATGACGATGATCATGACGATGACGATGATCATGACGATGACTATGACAATGATCATGACGATAATCATGAAGATGACAATGACGATGTCATGATAATAACGATGACGATGATCATGACTATGACGATGATCATGACGATGACGATGATCATGACGATGACGATGATCATGACGATGACGATGATCATGACGATGACTATGACAATGATCATGACGATAATCATGAAGATGACAATGACGATGTCATGATAATAACGATGACGATGATCATGACTATGACGATGATCATGACGATGACGATGTAGAAAGCACTTCAGATTCATCTCGAATTCGTGGGGAACTAAACTTCCTATAATTGTACGTGATCTGGGGCTGGCGGGGTTGAGCTTAGCGACGCGTGAACAGTACAGAATATCATGGTCACTCATTGTATGGTTAATGGCGCATCCTAGCTGTTTTACTATGCCTACAACAATCTCCGTTTTTCTTTTGGGCACGCACTGTATCTCCAAGGAAGATGCACGGGAAAGTTGATCGAATTGGTTCAATTTATTATTGAGGGTGTTAATCTCGTAACGCAGAAGATCGTTTTCTTTTTTAATGCCTTAAAATAAATAATATTTCTTGTTGTTGCATTTTAAATTCGTCTGAAATCTTATCGAACTTGTCACTCATAAATTCAATAGAGCATTTAAGATTACTTATTTGTCCATTAATTGTGCTAATGCCAACTGTAAACTTCGTGGTGCAAGACTTTAACCCCGTTGCTATTTCTTCACGAAGTATTCTTCTTATTTCTCGCAGTTCTGAACGACGCACATAATCACTTGTATTATCTACAATGATATTAGTATCAAGTTTTGCAGGCGCCTTGCGTCGGGACACGTTATTAAACGAAATTTCGGCAAACGATGTAGGTGTTGAGGGGCGAGCTACCGATTCGGAATTGTTACCTTTCGGTAGTTTAATCATGCACATAGGGCAAATCCAATTAGATAATGCGTCTGGAAGCAAGGCTGCAATATTCTCTGGGCTAACATACGCCCAGAGAATATTGCAGCCTTGCTTCAGGCATAAAAAGTGAAATATTTCGCTACATTTTGCGCATTGCAATTAATCTTCTTTTCCGACTTCGCGGGTACACGCTGAACAATTCTTCATAATAACTACACACTATAGGTTATAATTAGATAAAGACGTCAATTATGCAAGCCCTCTCGTATCGCAGCGGTTAGGAATGCGGGCACCCCGCTCGATTATTGCATCCGCGAACTGTCAATAAAACTTGGCTTTGACTATTAAAGACACTGAATAACTACAAGGGATACTGATCACAAACAGTACTGTTTTATTTGGTTTAGTCGCGATATTTGCGTAATCAAATAAATTAAATATTTAAGAGGATCGAACACACGACCGCCTCGTAAACCTTCTTACGACTTGTTCTCAATTCTCAATCTCAAATTCAAAATTACCTGACAAAGACATAATTCGTCTTTGGATAGTCATTGGAGATTCAGTTGAATTTTCTCAAACTTTTTTGCTGCTTCTGGACACATTTTCTTAGCGGCAATTTCTATGCATTCTTTTACAAAATCCCCATCATTGAAGGGGCGACTTCGCTTTGCTATTATTCGAGAAATTTCATAACTAACTACTGTAGCTGTTTCTGAATCTTGAATGGGTTTTGTAAACATAGCTTGCTGACCAATAAGCTCCCGTTTTAAAGACAACATTTTTTGCTTTCTTAATTCGCCTGTAAACTTGGTAAAAGTAGGATGCTGCGTTTCATAGTGCCTTTTTACATTATATTCCTTTGCAATCGCAACAGAATTCTTGCAAATTAAACAAACGACTTTGTTATGCGACCATACAAAAAAGTATTTCTCAGTCCAAATTTCTTGAAACTGCCGATTTTCATCGTTAACCTTACGTTTTTTACTAGGTCCTGGCTTGTCCATGTTGCGTTTTAATCCTGACTAGGATTAACATAGCACCTAAAAACAATTACAGTACCTACTTAAATCACCCATCCTTTTTTAAATTACCAAAAATAATTGATTATATATATTTTTGCTGTCGGCGGGCCACCAGTATTCGACCGGCGGGCCACATGCGGCCCGCGGGCCGCGATCTGTGCATCTACGATCTAGATAATAAGGTACTTAGTTACTGACGCCACTGTTACAGATTTATTATTAGATTTTTCGATATGTTCGTGTATAATGCCAATGACCTTAAATATCGTTCAGTGTAAGTAGATCTCCCAGTACTAGTGGCTGCCTACTAATGCAAGATCAGCATATACTGGTTATAGTTTAATACTTCTCATTGCCACTCTTTCATTAATGATGAAGTCGCGTGTTGCATGTTTGTAAATAGCAGAAAATGTGAAACAGACAACTAACGGCTCCGTGGCGCAGGTTTAGTAATGAGTTGCAGTGCTTAGGGCCTCGGGTTCGAATCCTGGACGGAACAAGTATTTGTATGGCCTACAAATAATTGTTCTTGGTCTGCTCTATGTATGTAAAGTGTCCCTGCGATACAGGAGAAAATATAAATACTGCGTAAAATTATAAAAACTGCGGCTGCCTGCATAATATCGTCACTTGAAGGCATCATATTGTTGCCAACAAAACTTTGTTGGAGACAGCAAGTTGTCAACTAAGATGTTTCTCAAATTGTTGGCGACATGTTTCAATTCGGTGCGGAAACATCGGAAACAAAACTTGGTAACTTTTGTTGAGTTGCAAACAGTTGGAAACATAAATGTTGTCAACATTTTCGGTGGATACGCGGCTTTAGAGCCTACCTAACTGCCCGTTGGTCTAAGGGTTGTGAACGTCACTGCTGATCATGAGGTCCCGGGTTCGAATCCTAGGTCGGGCCAAAAATTCAGTTATTGGGGTTTTAGCTGCCCGGAGTCAGGAAGTCGGCGGTGTCTCACCCCCGTGCCTCAGAAAGCACGCAGTCGTTGGTCTTACGCCTGATCTCACTCCGGTCGGTTTACCATCCCATCGGACTATGAGAGAGTGCATATGTGCTTGCGCATACACTTGGGCACTATAATCCTGTCCTGCGCCGATGGCTAGTCTCCGTTGAGGCTGGCCGCCGTGACCGAAATGACCGGTCTGGAGGACATTATTATTATTGTTAGAGCTTGTCAATAGTCCACTGCTAAAAATAAGCCTCCCCCGTAGATTGCGTCATGTGGATAGGGGCGCAGTTCTTTATTATATTGAGCTGTTATCTGTTATCAGGAAGATGCTGTAGACTATCTCCGGTTTCAGTTTCAATCTGTCGCCTTTTGCGACGCCGACGCGATCATATTATGTGGTGAAAACGCAGTATTGACTCAAATAGTATTTTCTAATGACTTTACGTACTAAAGGCTCTAATCAGGAGCCTTTATGTACACTGGATCGAAAAAACAAGACCTTCTCAGAGGCAAAACTGGCAAAAAAAACCTGGTGTCTTTTATTTTATTTTTTAAATGCCATGTAACAATTTTGTTTATTACCTATTTAGAATCAATGGAATGTCAAACATATCAATGAATATTTTTTACCTAAACGTAGTGATCAATATACTTTTTGGCTTAAACTAAGCGTTATTCCCACAAAATCCTCAATATCGTATTGATAAATTTAATAGTAGGATTTTATGACAATATTTCTAATATATAATAAATAATTTAAAATTTAAAATTTTGTACAACCTTGATCAAATTTATATGAAACTACATGCACAAACACCAGCTTTCAAACAAAAAAAGAATCATCGAAATCGGTTCACCCAGTAAAAACTTATGAGGTAACACACATAAAAAAAATATACATACAGTCGAATTGAGTACCGGCTCCTTTTTGAAGTCAGTAGAAAATACTTTCTAGTGTTAGCAAACCTCTATAGAAACTTCTAGCGTGCCAACTCGACCCGTTCTATAGTACGCTTATCGGTGATAGAGTTCCTGGGCAACCGAGCATTGCTCGATGTTAGAAAATAACATTTAATTTTCTCAAGGATGAGCTATCTAGATAATCTAATACAAAATTTCATCCAAATCGGTAGAGCCATTTCCGATAAACAATAAATACGATAAATTTTAACAGTGGTAGAGCTAAGCGGTAGCTTTTGCTGTCGCACGGATAGGCCAGCTCGAACCGGGGTGGTACCACGACCTCACAGAATACCAGCGTGAAGTAGAGGTTTACCTCTGCGTTGCGCTTGGTGAGTTCAGGTGCCTGGAGGCCCAATCCCCCCCCCCATCAACATGGTAGTGGAATTAAATAAATCCCTGGAGAATCCCTCGCTGAGCACCAAACTACTTCACTCCTGAGCGTGGGTGCCCCGCGTATTCTGGGGGGGGGGGGGGGGGGGGGGAGAGGAAAAATTCCGCTCGCGACTAATGCTGCTCGGGGCAAGCGGAGCAATACAACCAAGGCGACCCCTGTCACGCTATCCGTGAATTTTCGCAACATCAGGGGACTTCATTCCAACCTTAACGCTGTCCATTACCATCTAGAGACGGCGAAGCCGGCCTTGCTCTTTTTAACCGAGACTCAGGTGTCCTCTCCGGCTGATACTTCATATCTCTCCTACCCGGGGTACAAATTGGAACACACCTTTGTGCCCCGGGCTGGAGTTTGCGTATACGTCAGAGAAGACATCTGTTTTCGACGCCTCGGCAGTCTTGAAGGTACGGACCTGTCCATCCTATGGCTGTGCGTAGACAGCGACGACCATCCCTGCGTCTACGGGTGCCTCTATAGGTCCCATAGCGGTAATGCTGACTCAGATCGACTCATCGACCACGTCCAAATGGCTGCAGACTCCGTGCTAAAACAGGTCCCATTCGCAGAGATCGTGGTACTCGGTGATTTTAACGCCCACCACGTTGAATGGCTTGGTTCTCGTTTAACCGATCATGCGGGTAGATCTGTCTATGACTTTGCTTTGGCATATGGTCTAACACAACTGGTTACTTCGCCTACGCGGATCCCAGATGTGGAAGACCATGTACCTTCCCTGTTGGACCTTCTGCTGACCTCTCATCCGGACGGATATCAGGTCTCCGTCGATGCCCCTCTGGGCTCTTCGGACCATTGTCTGATCCGGAGTACGGTACCACTCACGCTCCAATCGCAGTTGCGATCTGCAGCTTGCTGCCGTGTTTGGCACTATAGGTCAGCTGATTGGGACGGGATGCGGTCTTTTTTTGCATCCTACCCTTGGGGTTGGCTTGCTTCTCGCCGGAAGATCCCAGCGTTGTTGACGATTCTGTTGCTGATGTGTTACTTCAGGGTATGGAACTTTTTATTCCATCCTCTGTGGTGCCCATCGGAGACAAATCCCAGCCATGGTTTGGTCGCTCCTGTAAAATAGCATCACGCTATAAGTAGGAGTGCTACCGGGCCTGGGCTGAAGCATCAACGTCTCGAGATGTAAACACCAGCGCACTTAAAAAGAAGTATAATTCCGCCTCCAGGTCCTTCAAAATCGTCATTGCCAAGGCAAGGTCTGAGCACATCGGCAGAATTGGCGAGAAGCTAGTTGGCCTTCCTTTGGGAACCCGTGCATTCTGGTCTCTCGCCAAGGCTGTCCAAGGGAACTTCTGTCAGCCATCTCTTCCATCTCTGCACAGAGAGGACGACTCACTGGCCCATGCCGCAAAGAAGAAAGCCGATCTGTTGAGCTCTCTTTTTGCGTCCAACTCGACTCTAGATGACGGGTGAACACACCGCCGACCATCCCGCGATGTGAGTGCTCCATGCCGGATGTGCGGTTTACACAGCGCTCGGTTCGCAAAGCACTCTTCTCCCTGGACGTCAGCAAGTCGAGTGGGCCCGATGGAGTCCCTCCCATTGTGCTGAAGACGTGTGCTCCGGAGTTGGCACCGGTTTTAACGCGTCTTTTCCGGTACTCCTACTCCCAAGGCATAGTCCCGAATTCATGGAAGATAGCTTTGGTCCACCCGATCTCTAAAAAAGGCGAACGCTCAGACCAGTCCAACTACAGGCCTATTGCCATCACCTTCTTGTTCTCCAAAATAATGGAATGCATTATAAACTGCCAGCTTGTGAGGTACCTTGAGGATCACCAGCTGATGAGTGACCGCCAGTACGGTATTCGTCGAGGTCGATCAGCTGGTGATCTTCTGGTCTACCTGACTCATAGATGGGCGGAGGCAGTAGAGTCCAAGGGGGAGGCATTGGCCGTTAGCTTGGACATAGCGAAGGCCTTCGATCGGGTCTGGCACAAGGCGCTTCTTTCGAAGCTTCCTTCCTATGGGCTTCCCGAGAAATTGTGCAATTGGATCACCAGTTTACTTGCTGATCAGAGCATCAAGGTCGTAGTAGACGGTGCATGCTCTGATTTCAAGCCTATCAACGCCGGTGTTCCACAAGGCTGCGTGCTATCACCAACGCTGTTTCTCCTGCATATCAATGATATGTTGCTAACTGGTAGCATTCATTGCTATGCAGACGACAGCACTGGTGATGCCTTATATACCGGCCGTGCCAATATTTCTCGGGAAAACGTCGCTGAGTACCGGGACAAACTTGTGTCTGAAGTCGAGTCTTTGCTGAACAAAGTCTCTGATTGGGGCCGACTAAATCTAGTCCAGTTCAATCCCCAGAAGACACAAGTTTGCACGTTTACCGCTAAAACGAACCCCTTTGTCGTATCTCCTCAGTTTCAAGGCACTCCCCTTGCTGCCTCAGCTAGTATCGGAATCCTTGGCGTCGACATATCGAATAGTGTGCAGTTTCGTGATCACTTGGAAGGGAAGGCCAAATTGGCCTTTAAAAAGCTTGGCATGCTCAACAAAGCGCAAGTTCGGCCCCACATGGAATACTGTTCTCATCTCTGGGCCCGGGGCTCCCCAGTGCCAGCTCCTTCCACTTGACCGCATCCAGCGCAGAGCGGTTCGAATGTTGACGACCGATTTCTTTCTGAT